CCCCTCCCTCCCTCTCTGCTTCCATCAGGGCTGAAAGGTTTGTTTCTTGCCTTGCCTTGCCTTGCCTTGCCATTTGGTTGATTGAATGAATCGGATGGGCGAATGGATGTGTGTGCGTGTGTGTGGTGGTGCGGATGGACGGACGATTCGAGTGCATGGCGAGTGCCATGTGTATTGTCTGTGTCTGTGTCTGTGTGTATGTGCTGGCCGAGCGATTGATTGAGGTCCAGATTTGACCCAAACATGACTGACTGACTGACTGACTGACATGGTTGCGTAACTGAGTGAAGAACAGTTGCTGGCTTTAAAAGTAGCTTCTTCTGATGCCCGAAGAGTCACGTTGTTTAGCCAATAGAGGCACACACACGCCATACCATACACCCCTACTCTTGACTGACATGTATCTCGAGAATCTAGTTGTTGAGCACAGCCTCAGCCAGCTCACTCCCCAGCACCTCCCGCACCCACTCCCTGCCCCCCATATGCATCATACCCTCACTGGTGGTGTACACCACCACACTCATCTTTTCGCTCACACCGCACCTCTGCACACCCATAATGGCTGCACACTCGTCGCCCACACCGTGACGCACCACATAGCGCATCTGCCACCCATCCTCCGCTCGCAAGTCATACCCACACACCACTGCTGTCCGCAAGCAGGCGATCCACCTGCTGTGCTAGGGGTAAAGGGGGTGACCAAGCAGTCCATTCGGCGATGCGACGGAGAGAGGGAGAGGGGCGGCTGCCAGTGGCGGCTTGGACGAGCCGAAAGAAGACCAGAGAAGTGAAGGAGCGGAACAGCAGCCAGTCGGTCGACGATGGCATCGGAGGGTCTTCCACACACCCAGCATTACCACCGTATATGGCGCAAGCAGCGTCAAGGGGGCAGGGCTTCACGGCCTCATGTCGCTGCTGCATAAAGTTGTAGATGAGCCCGCCACTCAGCTGCAGCGGCACACCGTCGACAGCCACATTGGCCGTGAGCATCATCCACTCGCGAATGGCCGCGGGCAGCGGGACGAGCTGCGCGTCAAAGGACCCCTCACCCAGCACAACCGGCTCCCCCCCTCGAGCTCCCCTTCTCAGCAGCTGCAGCACCGCCAGATGCGGCACCCACCTCGCCCAGTCCTCTGCAGCATCGATCATCCACAGGGCACGCAGAGCAACCTTTATGCCGCCAGGCGGTCGTATCTTCAGTGCAAAGAGGCCGTCCCTCCTCCTCAGCCGCTTCTCAGTGGCCTGGAGTCGCCGTGTGACGTAGGTGAGGTCGAGAGGGTAGAGGCCGTGTAAAGTGGCGCGGTGCAGGGCGCGCCAGACGCACAGGTGCTGCACATCCAGAAAGTCGGCTACCGCCGGCTGTGCTTCAGGCGGCAGATCTGGCAGCATTCTCTGCCCCGGCCGTTAACGTTAACGGCCGATGGTGGAAGCTCGCAGTTTCGCGCCAAAACAATTCCTTTTCAATGCAGCCGATTCCCATCAAGATACTTGCCACAATAGTGGCTGTGTTCGCCCCCCCGCCCTGCGTGTCGGCCTACCCCCAGTCAGTGCTGGTCTCCTACTTCGAGTATTGGCGGAGCGATGCCGACATCAGCCCCCCAGCCCTGGGCCTGGATGACGACTGCACTGTGCTGGGCATGATCCCCGGCAAAGACACGATCTGCATCGATTTGGATGGATACGCCGAGGAGACGCTGGCGCTGACCTGTCTCAACTCGCCTTTGTGCTGTGTGGAGGGGCAGCCGCGCTGCGGGTGTGGGCCACGGCTGTGGCAGACGCGCGTCAGTGGTACGTATGCATCGACTCGACGTACTTACGGCCACACACACACGTGTCACCTCTGAAAGTGCGAAGCAGGCAGTGTGACCTCTGTGAATGCATCATTGACTGCAATGCATGCAGTGTCGCCGGGCGGCAATCCTGACCCAGACGATGACGACCAGGAAGAGCAGGTAGGTGGGAGACAGCTCAGCTGAACTCAAGAGGGGGAAGGAATGCCCTTCTGACTCACTTGGTCTGTCTGTCCGTCTGGCTGTCTGTCTGGCTGGCTGCCTGTCTGTGTGTGTGGTGCACCCAGCCGAGTTGGCACACGAACCAGAAGCATCTGCTGAGGACGGTTTACGACCACCTGCACGACCACCCGGGGCTGCCTCAAGGCAATCAATACTCCCATCCATGACAGACATGGAGCAAATGAGAGACAGAGAGACATCTGACTGTCTTGTCTGTTGGGGGGTGTGTCTGTGTTGGTTGGCAGGCATGGACTTGTCAGAGTTCCTGCGCAACCGGCACGAGTCGTCCCACTACGGCAGCACATTCAATGACACTGTCTCCATCTTCACCTCCAGAGGAGGTAGGTGTATATTACCCCCCCACACAACCCAACACCCTCAACTCACGCATCTCTCTCTCTGTGCGCGTGTGTGTGTGTGCGGCAGGTCTGACTCCTCTGCTTGCGTGTTCGTTCGCCCCCTACAGGGACGTGTGTGTGCAGGGCTTCAGGGACGGGCCGGCCACGCAGCAGCACGTATGGATACTGCGGGCGGTGCAGGACTTCCCCTGCTACCAGGACTCATACACCTTCGGCTTCTGACTGGGCCATGCATATATGGCATATAATGCTAGCTACTGTGGCTGGCTGGCTGCATCAATGCCATTGCAATGTGTGTGTGGACGAATGAATGATGGACATTTGAATTGAACGGGTCGATGTATAGGTCTCAATCAATCGACGGCTGGCTGGCCGACCCGACTCGTGCAGCTAGCTAGCTACGCAGCCCGCCACAGATAAAGGATCTACCTATCGGTCACTCACGCGCACACACGTCTCCCTCTCCCTCTCCCTCTCGCTCACACCAACACCCACACCCACACCCATAGACACAGACACAGACATCCATCTACATCTGCAAGCAAGCACCTGTCCGTCTGTCCGTCTGTCTGTCTGTCTAAGCGAGTCCGGATGCACTGAGCGCTTGCTTGACCTGGGGCGTGGCGTGCGCGTCGAGCAGCGCCTGGAAATCCTGACACGACGGCAGCACCTGATGCTGATGCTGCTGGTGCTGGCCTGACGACAGCAACGCCTTCAAGAACTCTGCCAATCGCCGGAAGAACGCCTGAAGGGCCGCTGATACGATACACACCCACCACACACATGACGAACCACGTGGCGACTGACTCTTGTCTTTTCATGCCCCGCTTGCTTACGCGCATCGTCATCGCTTGTGAGTATCTGCGCCATCACCCCGCCCTGGCCGTCCGCCTGACCCACCAGCCCCGCCCTAGTCCCCCGCTGCTGCCGCACACTCCTCGGCAGCCTGCTGGTGGAGAAGCCGCCCTGCCGCCGGCTCTCCATGGCGTTGCGCAGAAAGTTCATAATGTTGCTCTGCTGGCTGTCTTTGGCGCGGTTGGCATCGCGCTGCTCGAGCATGGTGGCGCAGCAAGCCAGCAGCTCCTGCAGCAGGGCCAGCCAAAGGTGCGGAGGGGAGGAGGGGCAGAGGAAAGTGGATGGGGCGGGGTGGTGGGTGGGGGCGAGGTGCTGCTGATGGTGCTGGTGGGGGTGGTGCTGATGGTGCTGGTGGTGGGCTGAGAGAAGGGTGGATAAGATCAGCTGCAGTTTGCCGCAGCGGAGCAGTGTGGGGCGCTGAAAGAGCCTGCAGGTCAGGTGTGTAGGTAAAGGCAGACAGGGAGGGAGACAGACAGACAGACGTGTGTGTCGGCCTACAGACAGAAACAGTGTGCGCGTGTGGGTACGTGGTGTACCTGAAGCATGCGAGTAGCACAGCGGCAACCTCCAGCCTGGAGAACTCCATCGCACCCAACGCCTCACCATACTGACACACACACGCCCACACCACACCACACCCATACCCACGACCCATATATCCACAGCCACATCACAGCCATCTACCCACCCCACCACCCACCCTCACGTATGTACCTCTGTGGAACAGCTCTGGCTCCACGTCACGAACAGCGGCACCAGAGCGGCATACCTCCGCTCCCCTCTAGCAATCCCCCCCACCTTCAGCCCAGCCACCACCCTCTCCCTGTCATCCCCACTTCGTCTCGGTGGCTGCAGGGGGGGCGGTGGCCGCACTGTGCTGCCATTGAGCAGGGGAGTGGGTGTCTGAGTGGGGGGGTGGGGGGACGGCATAGGTGTGGGGGTGGGGGAGGTGCCTGCCTGGATGGCGGCCTTGATGAAGTGCTGGTACAGAGAGAGGACGCACAGATGCAGCTTCTGCTGCTGCTGCTGCTGAGTCTGCGAGGGGGAGGGGAGCATGGGCAGGGCCATCACGAGCAGCTGCAACAGCCGATACACCCGCTCCTCGTAGGGCTCCTCCCTTGCGTGAGCCAATATGTGTGTGCAGACGTCCAGCAGCGAACCAAACACCCCCGGCAGCTCCTCAAGTGCGCTGGGCTGTGGCGTGACCTGGCAGCGGTGGCTGAGGAAGGCCAGCACGTCGATCAAGGACAGCTCGATCCACACGTCGAGGACCGTCTCGAGCAGGCTGCCCGTGAAGGGCCGCTCGGACAGGTGCTGCTGCACCAGACGCGTGAAAACGCCCTTCAGGCTGGAAACCTGACCACATCGATCGACCCACACACAGGGTGTATTTGTGTGTTAGTGCGTGCTGACCTGGTGGTCCTGGACGACTCGTGTGACGGCGAGGAGCAGCTGTGCACAGCTCTCATCCAGAGCGCTGCTGCCGTCCACAGGGGGGTTTGTTGTTGATAATGCGGCCTCTGCAGACAGAGCACACACACGTCGCCAAGGCACCACACACATACGCTACGGGCCCACACAACAATTGCGTATAGGTGGCTTGCTTACGTGTGGGGATGGAGGACGGGGGTGGCTTCACGGTGCTGCTCATCAATGAGCTGCGTGAGCCGCCCAGCAAGCCGTCAGAGACCACCTAACCCACACGAACACACCACAGCCGCACACACACGATGGGATGGGGAGGGGAGACAGACAGACAGACAGACGCCGTTTAGCTACCGACCGACCTGTAGGCACGTGGCGAGCAGTTCATCCGAGAGCAGGGTGGGGCTGTCCTTGCTGGGGCAGGCCATCGTCACGAGCGACTTGAGCACGTCCACTATCGCCGGCCGGATCATCGCCTGCATATCCGCCTGGCTGTGGGGGTCGCCGACGCTGCTGGGGTGGTGGTCGTGGGGTGTCTGCTGCTGCTGCTGCTGCCGCCACAGAGCAAGGAACTGGTCGAAGTGCGCTTTGGACAAGTCGGTGCGGCCGGTGATGGACGCCTCGCTCAGGAGCTTCTGGATGACCGCCAGACACCGCCACTGCGCCTCCGGAGACCTCACCTGCACACAACCACACACACACACATACATTACCCCTCTACATCCCACCTCCCCCCCTTCCTCCGTACCAATCTGAGAAGGTTCAGCCCGGTGCTTACGAACAGCTTCTGTCTGTCGCCCTGCACCCAGGCCTCATAATTGTCCAGCGGATAGGCCACCAGCAGCAGCCGCAAAGGGGCCAGGGAGGCCAAAGCGACCGCCGTTGCAGCGGGGGATGGCGCTTGTTGGGGTGTTTGGGGGGCGTGCTGAGGGGTGATGGCCTGTGCGAGTGCGGCGATGATGTCTAGCGTGGTGCCGAGGGTGGACTCGTCCATTGGGGCGGGGGAGGGGGTGGCCTCACTCAGCCACACCTGCACACACATAGACACACACACCAGAGGGGAAAAGATGCCTCTCTCTCTCTCTGTGCGTGTGTCGGTGTAGGTGTAGGTGTGTGCATTGGATTCGTGTGTAAGACCAGACCACCTCACAACCTCACTCACCTTGATGAGGTTGGCCAGTCGCGTCTGTATGAGTGGGTGTGGCTGCCTGGGCAGTAGCTGCAGCACCAGCTGTATTAGATCCCTGAAGGATATCTTCCCCATCGCCTGCAGCTTCGCCTCCAGAAGCCCCGTCCAGCACAGCAACGCGTCCATGCGGAACAGCACCGACTCGTCCCGCCCGCTCAGGTCGGCCTGCAGCAGGTCCCCTCTGAGACGCTGCACCACGTGCGACACTACCGACTCGTCAAAGGGCGCCTGAAACAAACGGACAGACAATGAGATGAGATGAGATGGATGTGGGCGGGCTGGTGGGGTGGGGTTTTGCAGACATAGAGACGTACATTGGCAATGTTGGTCAGCGCCCTTTCCGCGGCATTTCGCGTCTCTGACGTGCCATGTGCCTCACGTATGCCCTCCTCGGGCTCATCCAGGTACTCAGACGCCTATGTCATGTCGAACACAGCGAGAACATCCAAACGAACGAACGGACAAACGTCTCCCTACTACCACCCCCTCCCCTCCCACCCCAGGTAGCGCACCTCGTGTGCATTGAGTACCAGGCATCTGTCGAGGATGGCCTCGCCGATCTGGGCAGGGCCCCCATTGGCCTGCAGGAAGGCCTGCAGCTGCTCCTTGCACTTGGCAGCGGCTGCCATGCCGGCCTCGCTCAGCTGGGACCGCTCAGCGGGCGGGAACCGGTAGCTGTGGCAAGAGAAGATGTTGCTGATCGATATGATCGATGACAAACAAACACGCAAGCAGGGCAGGCAGATACATACCAGGACGCACAGCGAGAAGGAGACAGAGTGAGGGAGAGTGAGAGTACGCACACACGAAACCCACGTACCCAATGAGTATGAGTATGTGTCTGACGAGGTGGTCGGGCACATCGGGCTGAGTCACGCGGCAAAACTTACCCAGCACACCACATCGCACCGCACATCATGTCACAACGGTGGATGGCCCCACATCCCTCCCTCCCTCCCCACCTGCACAAGTTCCAGAGCGGTCCTGAGGAGGTCGCCCACATTGATGGCCGCCACCACATAACACTGACCCTCAACCAAATAGCACATCCTACACACACACACACACACACGCTCCCCTCTGGCCTTCCCTCCCTCTCCCTCCCTCCCTCCCTCCCTCTCTGCTAACCACTTAAGTGCTGATTTGACGTTTTTGAAGAACCACTGCTGGCTGGCGAGTATGGCGGGGCGGTGCTTCCAGACCCGTATGAGCAGCAGCAGCTTCTGGTACATGAGCAGGGCCAGCTGCCCACCTGCGGCGTGGTCATGGAGCTTTTCGAAGCAGTGCGTCAGCACCAGATACATCAGGCCGTCGAGATAACGGGACGCCTTGACACACACACACACACACACACAGAGAGAGAGAAAGAGAGAGAGAGAGATGGAGTGGAGCCATGGATGTGATGTGCCTAGAAGGCCGTGTTGTGTTGTGCTGATTTCCCCCGCCCCACCGACCTTCCAGACGCCATCAGGCAGGTTGGTGAGGCTCGCTTCCCCGGCCTGCTGCAGTGCCTCATTCTGGCGCATCCACACCCGCCCCACACACTCGACGAGGGGCGGGCCCAGCTGGAAGGACTCCCGCCGAGACATGATAAGCCGCTTCGAGCCCTGCTCCTGCAGTGAAACAAATAGAACGGCGCACACACAGCACAGAGAGGGGGAGGAGAGGGTGGGGGAGGGGAGGTGACGGGGGAGGGGACGGGAGGGTGATCCGCCGGCCGACCTTCAGGACGCCGTGCAGGAGTGCGATGTAGACGCAGTGCTCGTCGGATATCTCAGAGCTGTCGCACTCTGCACACACACAGGGAGAGATGAGATGAGTACGTGGGTGGGGATGAGATGAGTGCATTCTCTCTCCTGCAAACGGCTGGGCTGGGTCCGATCCCACTGACCGTTCAGTTTGGCGATGAGTAGCTGCCCCAGCTGCGGCCACTTGCTGGGGAACTCAAAGCGACATATCCGACGAATGATCAATGACAGCTGCACCATACACACACACACACACACACACACACACAGAGAGAGAGAGAGAGAGAGGCAGTGATGAGTGAGTGGGCAATGTCCCGCCCCGCTCGGCCCGGCTCATCTCACTGACTTCGACGATGTGTGGCAGGTGGGTGACGCTGCCCTTCTGACCGTTCTGCAGGCCCCCTGCTGCAGTGGGTGGCGGCTCCTGCAGGATGGTCACTATGCTCTGCTTCAGCTGCTGCTTCTCGCCGTCCTGCAGCTGGTGGGAAGGCGCGTGACGATTCTGACAGAGGAAATGAAATGCGCCAGGGTGAATGGTAAATGAATGAGTGTCTGTGACTCAGTGATTGATTGGCTGACCTGCCAGTTCCTGTAGATGACGTTCTTGCAGAGGACGATGGCCAGCCATCTGGACTTGGGGTCCACCGAGCCGTCGGCATAGATATGGAAGAGCACCAGTGCCAAACCTGCCATGCCCTCCAGCCGCTGCAACTCTTGCTCGGCCTGCACACAACACAACCGGCACACACACACACACACACACACACACACACAGAGAGAGAGAGAGAGAGGGGTGTAGATCTGACGTAAGATGATGTTGTGCTCATGAGCACCTCATACACTCATCTCACTCACAGGTTTGCGTATGTTGCCGTCCTGTTGAATGGACGCGTTGAGCGTCTGGATGAGCATCGCTCGCTGATCCGCCGTACCTTCCATCATCACCTCACCCTGACTCACTCAACCGCGCCGCAGCCAATGCCAAAGATCTGAGCTATAGCACAATTAAGGTAGCAGGCAGGCTGCGACGGCAGATGCACAGCGGTGCACAGCGTCGCTGCGGTTTTTCTTTGGAGGTTTCGCTCCTTGAGCTCGAAAGCTTCGGGTGACGCGCGTGAAACCGCTCTCGTGCCTGGAGGAAAGAAAGCAACGAAGGCAGCGATGGCGCCGCCGTACTATATTCAACCGTGGCTGAAGCTGCCGAAGCCGTACATCCCTCCCGCCAAGGGTGAGGAGTTGGTGGACCCCAGGAAGAAACTCGAGCCCATCTGCGTAGCCAAGTGCAGCGCATGGGTCAACAAATACAACGTACGTACGCCAACCTGCACACAGCCAGACAGACAGGCAGAAAGGCAGGCAGACAGGCACAAGGTGTGCACCGCTCATCATGTGATCTGTGTGTGTGTGTTGACAGGACTGCGTGACGCGTGTGCGTGCGAGGACTGACGGCAAGGGCGACTGCCAGTCGCAGTATGAGAAGCTGGGCGAGTGCATCGACTGGTGCCTCTGCAAGCAGGGCAGACTCTTCGACTACTTGAAGTGAACGACCGACCGACTGATGAGGTCAGAGAGAGTGACCTGGTCACTCAACACACACACACACACACACACACACACACTTATGTACAACGTCGTGTGAGGTGTGTTCGTTCAGTGTGCGGCAACACGCGCGGCTCTGAAGTGTTTTCGTCTGATTTGTTCCGCATACGTGAGGCTGCCTGGCTGACTGCGCACCGCAGGACACACACACACGCAACCCCTGTGTGTTTTCGATGTCTGGGTGATGACGGTCACCCGATGCTTGTACTCGGCTGCCTGGCCGTATTGCCTGTCTGTCTGTCTGATGTCCTTGGGTTACCGGTAGTATATGACCTCATATGCCTCACCCACACTCTCCCTCCGTGTGTATGTGGTGAACTCACTCGTTGGTTGCGCTCATGTAGGTAATGTATGCGGACAGCAGAGCAGTGAGTGTCAAGTGCGTGACGTTCTCTCGTCCCACAGTGTCGGTCATTGATTGACGCAACACAACCCAAGCGATCTGTACACGTCGGTCGGTCTGTCATGTCCACATGAGCCCAGCGCGGCTGGGCTGCTTCACAGCCCGGGCCAGGCCACAGGCAGCCACACCTACACAACCCGACACACCACACCCTTCCCCGCCCCGCCCCTCCCACTCTATTCACATCACACACAGGCCCTCCTCCCTCCCTCCCTGTCTGTCGTTCTGTCTGTCTGTCTGGCTATGTCCTGCCTCCCCCTTCAGCGTTAAACTGCAACACATCTTTCAGATGCGACTCATCTATCGCTCCGGTGTCCACACTCTCATCAAACACCACCGGAATCGAGCCGCCCGACCTGGCTCGCCCGCCATCCCAAGCAATGCGATACGCCAGCAGCTGCACGCCCGCCTCGTGTGCGCGTTTCAGCACCTGGGCGAAGAGCATGTCGGCTTCGTGGCACGGACGGAACTGAAGGGTGTCCGAACGGTTGACGATGAAAAGGATCGCCGCCCTGGGTTTGCTTGTGGTCCGTTTGACCATATTGGTGAGCTCGTGTGCGTGTTTGATGGCCCGGTCGCTGACCACCTTGATCTTGGGCTTCTTGGCACCATGCGGGAAGATGGCACAGCATCTGTAGGGCTGCACTGAGGATGTGTAGACACCTATTGAGGAACGCTCGGACGGCACTGATGGCACACACACACACACAGAGAGAGAGAGAGAGACAGAGAGAGAGAGGGAGAGAGAGCATCACCTCGGCGAATGAAGAAGTCTTTCGTTGCTGTCACCCACCTTGTCCCTCAGGGTAGTCGGCACACACACAATTCTTAACCTCCAGGAACAGCTCATCGCCATTCGGGTAGTCTAACACGAAATCAACCCTGAGGGTCCAATACACAATCACACGATGACATACACAATCAAGCCTCGTCTCTGCTCCTTCCTGAGTGCTCAGGCACTGACCTGGCCTTGCCGTGCGTCACTTGTGTCCTGAACGACGAGTAGCCCGCCAGCTCAGGGATCATATGCCGCTCCAACATCGTCTTGACCATCCTCTCGGCCAGCTGCGGGTGCGCACCCACCGACGCCACCTCGCCCATTGGGCGGGGCTCCTCGGCCAGCCATATCGTGTGGGACGTCTTGCCCTTCCCACTCGCAGACGGTGTCATCCTTACCTGGCTGCCCGGCACTATCATGCCCGCGCAGTCCAGACTTGGGCAATGGGCCTGCAGCGGGTCGGCTGACTCGTCGCAAGTAACGTTGCCCATGGCGTCTTGTTCCAGGATGCGGACATCGGCAACGTAGGGCGTCTTGATGACTGCAGAGGGGCGCTTGACGATCCTCCCGGTCAGCAGATCACCCAGGTCTAGCAGAGGCTCACCGCTGTCGCTGCCTGGCTGCAGTACTAATGCACCAGAGGCAGATGCAGCAGCAGAGGCAGCGGGTTGGTCTGTCGCTGCTCTCTTCTCTGCCGGTGGCAGCAACTCATGCTCATCGTCTACAGCAGCTGCGGCGGCTGGACCATCGTCTCGGTTCTTTCTCTTATTGCCGGCTGTTCTTTTCGGTGCCATGAGGTCAATGTCACCCAACGACAGGTCAACAACAGCAGCTGTCTTCAGCCGACTGAAGCCTCCAGCTGGCGGCAGAGCTAGGTGTCTAAGGGGTGCTGCGGTGCGGCGTCTGAATGGCAGAAACTGCTGGCGTGAAGAGAGGGATGAGGCGGCGCGGTACGTCGGACGGACCACCAGGAAGGATGCCGCTCGGAAGAGATGCAATACAACGAAGATAGTAGCTAGATCAGTGCTCCATCGCCTCCAATTGCGTGAGGCACCCATTCATTTTGAGTCGGCTTCAAGTTGAGCTCGCAGCCCCCATTCCGTGAAACCGCTCTCCCCCTTCCCGCCCTCCC